TGACGAAACGCGTCAAGTGGAAGTGTCATCAGATACAAATCGGAAGTACCGCGGTGGCCATTTTAGAGAAGGCGTTTTGTAACCTGAATCTATGTAAGCATAGTTTAGTGAATAAAGTTCATTTTATACATACTGCTTTGCTATGGAATTTTGTTTTTGATCACACATGTCGGGAGGAGATTCACAGAATATAGAGAAAAGGTGATATTGTAAATTCAATGGAGAGATTTAAAGAGGCAGGCATTCAATTTATAGAGAGTAAGGTGCATGACCTGGAGGGAAAGTGAGGAGCACTAGTGGTGGTGTGAATTTCTTAGGTGGATGGTGCACTTGAAGATTCTGAGGAGGATTGATGGAGAAGATACACATATAGATTTAATGCATGGACTTTTTTCTGGATGGTAAGAGTAAATATTGAGAACGGTGATTGGTAATGATTACACAGTAATTTTGGAGGATTATACAGTAATTTTGTAGCACACTATTTCATTTGAAAATGATGTATTTTATTTATTTAATTAACAACATACTACACTATGTTTGTTTTTTCATTTTGGGAACATGGGTAGAAGTATAGACGGAAGAGAAGAGAAGGAGAGGAGGATTTATTTGTATATAAAACGTGTGATTATTGAATTAATATGGTGAGAGCATAATGAGATCTCATCTCATCTTATATGGACTTTTGGATTACTATTGAGCTGTTTAATAAAGATAAATTGGTCTGCCCAGGGGGACAGTTATATTCTCAGCCACAGGACTGGTTCTTTGGACCTTTGGCACCAGGGGCAATAGGATTATATATTGATTCCACTTTGTTCTGTATCAGAGATCTCTTCTGCTAAATGCTTTTGAGAAATGCATTCTGATTAGTTGCCAAGGAGTACTTATCAGCCAATATTTCACATACAGAGCAGTTATGCACTAAAGTATTACCAAGGTCACCATCCAGCACTGACTTTGTGGTTCTCTTTACTCAGTACACAGGTATGTAAAGTGTCAGGAGTCTTCCTGTAACACGTTGCTGTCTTTTGTAATATGACAATGGTCTCTTGCAACATGTAGCTCTTGTTTGGTGTACAACATCATGTTGAATGTACATGATTGACACATTTATATGTTTGTACATGAACACACAACATATTTTAGTTGCATTGTAGATGGGCTTAGAAGTTTCAAGCTAGGAGACCAAAAAGACAGCAAGCACTATTATTTGCAACATATCTGCTTACCCCCACAGCCTGCTCCACCATCACTGACTACTGCTCCCTTTTCTCACATCCTGCTCCACTATATATATATATATATATATATATATATATATATATATATATACAGTCATGGCCGAAATTGTTGGCACCCTTGATATTTCTCCAGGAAATCATGTATTTCTCACGAAACGTATTGCATTAACACATGTTTTGCTATACACATGTTTATTCCCTTTGTGTGTATTGGGACAAAACAAAAAAAGGGAGGAAAGAAAGCAAATTCGACATAATGTCACACAAACCTCCAAAAATGGGCTGGACAAAAGTATTGGCACCCTTTCACAACTGCGGATAAATAAGAATGTTACAAGCATGTGATGCTCCTGTAAACTCACCTGGGGCAAGTAACAGGTGTGGGCAATATAGAAATCACACCTGAAAGCAGATAAAAAGGAGAGACGTTCACTTAACCTTTGCATTGTGTGTCTGTCTGTGCCACACTAAGCATGGACAACAGAAAGAGGAGACGAGAACTGTCTGAGGACCTGAGAACCAAAATTGTGGCAAAATATCAACAATCTCAAGGTTACAAGTCCATCTCCAGAGAACTAGATTTGCCTTTGTCCACAGTGCGCAACATTATCAAGAAGTTTGCAACCCATGGCACTGTAGCTAATCTCCCTGGTCGTGGACGGATGAGGAAAATTGATGAAAGATTGCAACGCAGAATAGTCCGGATGGTGGATAAGCAGCCCCAAACATGTTCCAAAGACATTCAAGCTGTCCTGCAGGCTCAGGGAGCATCAGTGTCAGCGCGAACTATCCGTCGACATTTAAATGAAATGAAACGCTATGGCAGGAGACCCAGGAGGACCCCACTGCTGACACAGAGACATAAAAAAGCAAGACTACAGTTTGCCAAAATGTACTTGAGTAAGCCAAAAGCCTTCTGGGAAAACGTCTTGTGGACAGATGAGACCAAGATAGAGCTTTTCGGTAAAGCACATCATTCTACTGTTTACCGAAAACGGAATGAGGCCTACAAAGAACAAAACACAGTACCTACGGTAAAATATGGTGGAGGTTCAATGATGTTTTGGGGTTGTTTTGCTGCCTCTGGCACTGGGTGCCTTGACTGTGTGCAAGGCATCATGAAATCTGAGGATTACCAAAGGATTTTGGGTCGCACTGTAGGGCCCAGTGTCAGAAAGCTGGGTTTGCGTCCAAGATCCTGGGTCTTCCAGCAGGACAATGACCCCAAACATACGTCAAAAAGCACTCAGAAATGGATGGCAAAGAAGCGCTGGAGAGTTCTGAAGTGGCCAGCAATGAGCCCAGATCTAAATCCCATTGAACACCTGTGGAGAGATCTTAAAATTGCTGTTGGGAAAAGGTGTCCTTCCAATAAGAGAGACCTGGAGCTGTTTGCAAAGGAAGAGTGGTCCAAAATTCCGGGTGAGAGGTGTCAGAAGCTTATTGATGGTTATAGGAAGCGACTGATTTCAGTTATGTTTTCCAAAGGGTGTGCAACCAAATATTAAGTTAAGGGTGCCAATACTTTTGTCCAGCCCATTTTTGGGGTTTTTGTGTGACATTATGTCATATTTGCTTTTCTGCCTCTGTTTTATATTTGTTCCAATACATACAAAGGGAATAAACATGTGTATAGCAAAACATGTGTTAATGCAATACCTTTTTTGTGTGAAATACTTGATTTTCAGGAAAAATATCAAGGGTGCCAACAATTTCGGCCATGACTGTATATATATATCTCAAAACAGCAACCTGTACCATGTGATAGCTGTGGCCAATCACAGCATCACAGTAGTAAAATAAGGTTTCATGAATGAAACCTTTGAAACCTTTGAACAGCGTTAGAAATTGCTTATTACTGATCATCACTGTAATAAGCAATCAGAGTGTAAAGAAAAAATATCCTAATTATCTCTACAGAGTAGTACAGTGTCAATATAGTGACACTGTACTGCTCTGGTAAAAAAAAAAAGAAGAAAAAACTATTAAACAAAAAATAAAAATATACTTTTTTTTTTAACATACTGTCACCAGTCAGTGGCCCTGATCACCACCACACCAGTCATATGGTGATGCTGCACTGCTCTGGTGACAGTATGTAAAAACAAAAATTGTGAAATAAAACAAATTTTATTTAATTTCTTCATTTTTCAAAACGTTATGACAAAACACATTACTGTTTTAAGCAATCATAGTGTAAAAAAAAAAAGAAATCCTAATCATGTCCCCAGGGTAGTACAGTGTCACTATGGTAACACTGCGCTGCTCTGATGACAGTTGGTAAAAAAATTATGAAAATAAATGTTTAAATTTATTTATTTGTTTTTTAACATACTGTCACCAGTCAGTATCCCTGACCACTACGACACCAGTCACATGAGGCCCTAAAATGCCAGGACAGTACAAATACCCCCCAAAATGACCCCTTTTTGGAAAGTAGATAGTCCACGGTATTTAGTAAGAGGCATAATGAGATTTTTGAAGTTGTCATTTTTTCCACAATTCTTTGGAATAAGAAGAAACTAAATACTTTTTATCCCACAAAATTGTCATTTTAACAAATTATTTCTCACACACCACATAGACATACTTACAACTACACACCAAAACACATTCTGCTACTCCTCCTGAGTATGGCGATGCCACATGTGTGAGACTTTTTCACTGCCAAGCCACACAGAGAGGTCCAACATCCAAGGAGTGCCTTTGGGTGTTTTAGGGGCATGGTAAGCTGCACTGATGACTGAGGTGACAGGTACATTGATAGGAGCACCTTCAGGCATTCTAGGGACATAAATTACACATCTAATTTCCAGACTACCTATCACACTTTTCAAGGCCCTGGATCACCAGGACAATGGAGACACCCAGAAAATGACCCCATTTTGGAAAGCAAACACCACAACGTATATTCTATGAGGCATAAAGAATCTTTTGAACATGTCATTTTTTTTCTACAAGTTTTTGAAAAATGTGCAAAGAAAATTAAAAGTTACTTTTTTTTTTTTTTTTTTTTTTTTTTTTTTACACAAAATTATCAATTTATAAGATATTTCTAACATACCAAGAATTACACTCCAAAATACATTCTGCTACTCCTCTTGAGTATGGGGATACTACATGTGTAGGACTTTTTTTTATAGCCTAGCCACATAGAGCGGACCAACATCCAAAGGAGCTCCTTCGGGTGTTCTAGGGGCATGATAGGCTGCACTAATGACTGCAGCGACAGGTGCATTGATAGAATGCACTGAAGGGCTGCTGTGACAGGTACACTAATAACTTACACTGATGGCTGCAGTGACAGGTACACTGATAGGCTGCACTGATGACTGTGGTGACAGGTACGCTGATTAGAGCTACTCTGATGACTGTGGTGACAGATACACTGATTAGTGCTGCACTGATGACTGGTGATGGGTACACTGATTAGAACTGTACTGATGACTGTGGTGACAGGTACACTGACTGGGGCTGCACTAATGACTGCAATAACAGGTACACTGATTAGGGCTGCACTGATAACTGCGGTGACAGGTACACTGATTAGGGCTGCACTGATGGACTGTGATGACAGGTACACTGATTAGGGCTGCACTAATGACTGTGGTAACAGGTACATTAAATAGAGCTGCACTGATGGCTACGGTGACAGGTACACTGATTAGGGTTGCACTGGGGAGCTGCTATGAAAAGTATACTGATTAGGGCTGCACTGATGACTGAGGTGACAGGTACACTCATTAGGGCTGCACTAATGACTGCAGTGACAGCAGGGGGGACTGACCATTTGGAAACTTGGGCACTGCCTGAGGGCCCAAGGTCAGTAGGGGGCCCCATGAGATGCCCCTGGTACCTTTTTCATAGGTTTTTTTTGAGTCTGGGCAAGGACACAGGGGCCCCATGATCCCCTATTGCCCGGGGGCCCCATGAATTGTCAGTCCACCCCTGGGTGACAGATACACTAATTAGGGCTGCATGGATGACTGCGGTGACAGGTACACTGATTAGGACTGCACTGATGACTGCATTGACAGGTACACTGATTAGGGCTGCACTGATGACTGCGGTGACAGGTACAGTGATTAGGGCTGCACTGATGACTGCGGTGACAGGTACAGTGATTAGGGCTGCACTGATGACTGCGGTGACAGGTACAGTGATTAGGGCTGCACTGATGACTGCGGTGACAGGTACACTGATTAGGGCTGCACTGATGACTGCTGTGACAGGTACACTACAAATCAGGGCTGCACTGATGGCTGCTGCTGTGACAGGTACACTGTTCAGGGTACTTTGATGGCTGCTGCTGTGACAGGTACACTGATCGCTGGCCTCAAGAAATGAGATAGGCCGTCAATACATCAGGACTGATCAACTTTAAAATATATATCATATATATTCAATGTGTTGTGCTATTATAGCAAGACATTAACAAGACATTAACATCAAAATAAGTCCAAAATGAGATTAAATCATAAATCCATTTGTGAAAAAAAATTATAGTGCATATATCCACTCGTGAAAAATAGATAAAGAGATGAATCCACTTGTGCATATAATCTTTTAGCGCCTTCACCAACCACCCATCAATGTGACACCATCACTGTGCTTACTGGAGCCTAAGACCCCACATCACAGAGGTCTCATCTCACTTGTATTTCAATCATACCAGCTGGTGGCTCGGGAATCCCACAGCATGACGTTTACACTTACAGTAAAAACATCCACTCTCTTTATGAAAAGGATTTTGTCTTTTATTTAAAGAGGAGGAGAAACAAAGAAATAAAAAAGAGGAAACAACATCTCAGGGATAGTCAAGATTATATATCATAGCAGAGTATTTAAATGGCAGGCAGAAGAAACCTCTGAGAATAACCCTGGGAATGTTCCTCAAAAGGATATGGTCCAAACAGTCCAATCTAATAACCCTCGGAATAGCAATAATCCTCAATATTTACCCTTTAATAGAGCTAAGGGCAAGTTCATTCCTAAGAAACCCCACCCCAAAAAGGGTAAGGAGGAGTCATCAAAAAGAGGGCAATTACCCGTTAGAAGTTTTTATCCCCAAGGAAAGGGAGAGTCCTCCTATTATAAGAGTCCTGTCCTTTTAAGAAATAGATTTACAGATATTACCAAACCCCTATAGGGCAATCTTCTCATTCTTATAGACCCATACAACCCATTTTTTAGTAGAGGAAAGGGAAAAAGAAGAGGAAGAGAGGGAGTAGAGGAGGAAAGAGAAGCTGTGGGATGAGACCATTAGCGATGACATCATCACAGTGGCGAAGCCCGGTCGTGTTGTGCATGTAGGCTTTAAATGTCTTTGTGGTTGTGAGTACATTTGAATTATTTTAAATAGAAGAGTTCTAGTATACTGCACTATAGGGCTTCTTTTTCTCATTTTATTTAGCATTTGAAGTACAGAAGAGTGGAGAGAGTTGATGTTGATAAGTGTAAACTTCATGCTGTGGGATTCGCTGAGCCACCAGCTGGGATGATTGAAATACAAGCGCGATGAAACCTCTGTAATTCGGGATATCAGGCTCCAGTAAGCGTGTTGTGATAGTGTCACGTTGATGGGTGGAGGAACTAAAAGGTTATATGCACAAGTAGATTCATCTACAGTATTTATCTATTTTTCACATGTGGATATACTTATATGCACCATTTTTATTTCACAAAAGGACTTAATCTCATATTGGACTTTTTTCACATTTATAATGTTTTGGTAGAATAGTGCAGCACATTGATGATATATGGTACTTTTTTGATATCTGGGTTTTGAGGTATCTGTGAGTGCTGATCTTGTTTGTGTTTATGTTTAGTTTAGTAGTTTTTTTGGCACCAAATGTAAAGTGTTACTAAACTCATGGCCCTGCATTCATTATATCCAGTCTCCCACAGTTCACACAACATGGAAATGCAATTATTTTAGTAAATACAAACTGCAAAATACCTTTTCTCATTAGCAGTATATAGCAGTCTTGTAACTTCTATCAGTGTCCACATGAGCACTGGTTAACTTTGAAGGAAGAGTTTTCATTCCGCTCCAACTGTCCTATGAGGCTGCATAACCCATGACCTTCTGTCTGGAGAGCACTGATTGGCCCTGTGCTAATCACATGCACCATTCCAAAGACAAAAAAAGCCCCTCTCTGGCCATACACACTAAACTGAGCATGTGCAGAGTGACTCCTAGAGCTCTGTACTATCAGCAGATGGATTGGGGACAGTAGAAGATGGGGATGATCAGAGAAGACAGGGTCAAACAGCCTGTTTATACAATGCAGAGGATTAACCCCTTACGGTCCACAGTGAGTATAACAAGCATGCTTTACTGCATATACAGACTGATTTTACTGTTGTGGGTTTAGTAACACTTTAAGGTTGAAGGGGTATACATATTTTCCAGCACCAAGCACAGTTTTTTTCTTCATTTTTTAAATATATATACTATAGATTGTATACTCTATAACTTTTACACAGGCAAATAATATACACTGATTTGGGTATTGTTTCACCCAATCAATGTAGCAAGCAGAATACATTTTGGCCTAAATTTATGAACAAAGTTTGTTTATTTGCAAAATTTTGTAACAGAAAAAGACATTTTTTTCCCCATTTATTTTTTTTAATAGCAAAAAATAAAAAAAAACAGTGGTGATTAAATACAGCCAAAAGAAAGCTCTATCAGTCTCAAAAAATTATAAAAATTTAATTTGGGTTCAGTGTTGCATGACAGAGTAACTGTCAGTGCGAGAGCACTGAAATCTGAACAACTGGTCTGGATGGGAAAAAGGTAAAAGTTTCCAGTATTGCAGTGGTTAAATAAGACTTAAAACAAGTGATACCACTGCACTTGCTGATCAGTCAGTTGGTTGTCATGGTGATGTCACTGTCAGTTTGTTTACCCAAGGATAATAAGCAATAAATATACCAAATCATTGACATGCCTATAAAGGAGAACAAGTATTATTGCCCAATTTCTGAGCATGTAAAGTATGGTAACAGTCATATTGCAATAGAGTCAGTTCTCCACGATAATTTCTGTGTGGCTGTCAGAAGGAATAATTGAGTTACGCTAAAGACTGCAAAGTAAACAAATAAAATGAATCATCTCTATGCCACAACACGTTCATATCATTTACATTTAGAGAACAATCAGTTGTAAATATGGTAGGTATTGGTCATAGGGACATTTTTAAAGGTGCTGTCCACTCCTGCATTCTTCACATCCAATGTGTCAGCCTTGATGGATGACCAACTGTAGCAATGGCAATAATGAATTTACAGACGTGCTTAAACGTTTTTCCTGAATGTCACATTGTTTCTTCTAGGGCTTTGTCACTGTCACTTTTCCAGCACACTTGAGTTCAAAGATCTATCTAAACCATTATTGGAGGAAAGTACTTGCACTAGACAACCAAAATAAATGACAGTCGTTCAAAGATTATAGCCCAATGTAATAGCAAGAGTAAAGAGTAAAAAGTACACTTGCACACAAACACACTGCAAGAGTTTAAGAGGTTGTAAACCTCTGACATGAAATATGAACAAAGCATATCCCTTTAGAGTGTGTAGTTGTCTCAATCCAGAGCTGTCATTTTTGTCTGGTGTCATCATTCCTCTGCTATCTGTATGAGTCTCTTCTGACAGGAGAAAAAAAAAAGATGACAGGGGAGGGAGCTCCAGCACACAGCCTGCGATTGACAGCCTCAGAACTGTTTCCTGTGCACTGTGTGAATGGGGGGGGGGGGGGTCCCTTCCCTCCAATTAGGTCTCAAAGCTCTTCACTGAGCTCTGCAGTCAGCTTTCCCCTTCCCTACTTTCTGAAATCTCAGACAAGCTGTATAAATTTTGCACTTTGAACAGCTCTCAAAAAGAGAAGACTGCAGATAAACAGGTACAACTTATGTAGGAGGATTTGTTGCTCTTTGTATCACCTGAGGCCAGTCACTTCACTGGGTATATGTAAAGGTTTACAACCACTTTAAGTGCTTGTTTTAGAATAGGAATAGGATGGAATACTTATTTTCCCTCCTGCAGGCATTCTCTGCCCTTTACTAATGGTACCCTTAAGCTGCTCCTCTTCACTGCTCAACAGGATGCAGCTCTCCAACATGATCACGTACACAGCAAAACTGCTAGTTTCTGCATTGTATGTGAGAACTCTGAGGGGTCACCCACATCCTGGGAATGTCAGGGAGTGAAGAGTGCCTGCTGCTGGAAGAGTGGAGAATAAAAAGGGTATAAGGGATCACATGTGAGTCAATACCCTGTGTTTATGTGGGATTTATTCACATTTTTTAAACTTCATAACTGCCCTTCAACGTCTGACATGAATATTACAATGGCTGTACACACAGGAGAGGTTGCATCATTTCAAAAATTAAGCAGCATGTCACTTTCATGAGGCATGGATGCTTGTCAGTCACCTCCATTGATTTCAACGGTAATGCTCTGTAACCGCACCTATCGCAATAACCTCTTCCCCACCACCCTATAGTAGAAGTACTGCTACAGGACGTGCAAAATCACGTGTATATATGTAATTTGCATTTCTGGGTACGGAGCGCACACGTGTGCCGCCCTACCTGCACTGCCATTGGCAGCTAGGCATGCCAATCACTGGGTCCCGACCAGAGATTCTCTGCCGACACCCGGCGATCGCCGTGCAAAGCTGACAGGGGAGAGACCTGTGTGTAAACAACACAGGTCTCTCTCCTGCCAGCAAGGACATGATGTTTTGTATCTCTCTGCATAGCAGAAAGATACAAAACAGCATATCGCCTTAGTAAAACAGCACACAGAACACCCAGGGTCAGAATGCCTGCCGCAGTCCTGCAATGAGTTGCTGATCACCGCCATTACTAGTATATAACAAAAAAAATTCCAGTATATGTACTGGCATTTGTAGATGCTATAATTTTTATGTAAACCTATTAATTTACACGTATTGGGATTTTTTTTGTAGCAAAGACATGTAGT